CAATTAGTAATTAAGATAATCTAAATTAAAAATAAGTGAAAATGATAACGATACCTCTTCCCCAGCGTACAGCACCAAGGTTTTGAGCTATAATCTTCATTGTGCGCAGTTTCAAATCTTCCTCCTTTGTCCATGAACAACTGCAATAAACACTGATACACGCAATCAAACGATTCGAAGCAAAGTTTACTTACGATAAAGTTCAACAGCTGATCGTAATATCATTTAATAATCTGGCGCTCGATTCATTAGAATTAATTTTTGTTTCACTCTGATGCAAGAAAAACATCGACTGTGCGATATGCAATCAAATTTTTGGCGTATTATCGGAAATTTGGTGTCGTTTTGATCAGATATCCTAAATGAAATGCAACACACATTCTCTCAATATGCACAATTTAAATATATTCATGCAAAGTATTGTTATTCAGTTTTTGTTGATGAATATAGTCAACGTATACATTTACAAATTTAAACAGCAACAATTTCAAAAAGCAACCGATCCAGCATATACTGCTTCATTTCCTGAACTCTCGCAAAACACTGCAGAGGTGTTCGATCAGTATCTAATTCATCCGCAACTATTTCCCAATTGACTGCTTTGATTCGAGTCGAATCTTCAGCATATTTCTTTAAATGTTCAATCTCAGCATATGACCACTCATCCTTCGACCACTCCGGACACTGTTCATTCAGCCATTTAAGACGAAGTTGACGCGCTGTTCGAGTATTGCGGAACTGAAACTCTTTTCGTTATCACCACCGTTCTTCTTGAAATCCTATCATTTGAAATCACTCACAACATGTATATTGAAATCACGTAGCACGTATATTTCCNAACAATCAATGAGAGAGAAAATCTGAAAACGAAGAGATGAATTCAGCGATAAACATACACTGATATTGGCCATAGCCAACCAATCTACCTCGTTATAATCGCCTTTAAGAATAAATTCATCATCGAGTTGCCTTCAAAACAAATATTCAATTACATAGTTATAATTTAGTTATTAATTGAAATGAATTATACTTATGGTCAAGTTATGTGATCAAATATTTACAATAAAAGAAAATCGAAATATTAAGCACAGTAATATAGAATATTAATAGAAACGAAATAATAACTTACTTCACATATGCAATTCGTCTGTTCATACTCGCGACAACCTGCTCCCAGTGTTTTATATCCACTTCTGTTGCTTTTCCATAACCATCATATAGTTTCTCTCGATACAGATCACGTCTAAACTCATAAAGCAGATTTATCATGGATGACATAGTGATAAGATAATGAAATCATTACTACTACTATTACTGGTTGGATATTAGAGGCAATATCATTGTTATTGT